AAAAAAAAAAAAAAACTCTCTCTTCTTTACTAGCCAACTTATCACCATGTCCAGACGCAGTATGGCTGACTTCACAATTCAGTGTCTGTGTATTCTTGAACTATCATCTCAATATTTAATGCACCGATTTGTGCATAAATTGCTTAGCCATTCTGCTGTTAATATTTATATGGCTTCTTTGTTCACCATCATATTAATTTCATTTATCCTTTTGACCAAATGCCTGACAGAGACCACTTCAGGGAAGGACTGATTCTGACTGCAGTAGTCCCAGTGGGAACGATGCACTGAAGGGATAATGTATAGCTGTGGCTTCAGGAATGTGGAGCTGCTTGCTCATATGTTAGCACCTGAGTTAGCAAGAAAGGAGAAATGAAGTTACTTGATTCACATTTTCTTTTTCTTTCTTTTCCTCTGTTCATTCAGTCTCAGATCACAGCCATGGGATGGTGTTGCCCATATTCAAGATGGATCATATTCTTTCAGTTAATTCTCTCTGGAAATGTCCTCACAGACATACCCAAAAGTTTACCTCCCTAATACCCTAGGTATTAAATAAACCATTCAAATTGACTATTACATCCTGATTCTAGTTTGGGGCCAAAGAGCATACATTACACCTCTTGGGATTCTTCGCAATATATAGTAATATATTTCAAAATTTTAAATACATTAAGGAAGGCTAACAAGCACAACCTGGTGGTGTACACATGCCATGCTAGTCCTCAGGAGGCTGAGGGAGGAGGATCTGTACTGTGAGGCCAGCCCAGGCTACAAAGTGATACATTATCACAAAACAAATTAATAAAACAGTTTAAAATCCTAAATCCTACTTTTATAGGTAGTACAGGCTTGATACAGAATTTCTAGTAAAATATTACAAAGCTCTAGTTTCATCAAATAAAGGACTGAAATACCAAATCATAACATGTTGATTTTTTTCTTCTTCACATATTATTTTTGTAAGGCAAAAACAAACAAGATATTGGTACACAGATATATAAGTCTAAATTAAATAAGCTGGAAATGCAAAAGCTGGGCAAGATACTAATAGTTATATTGATAAATATTTTTAGTGGTTAAGCCCAATTGCCCACCTAATGAGAATAGAGTCATCAGGGAGATGGGCCCTGAACATGCCTGTTCAGGATTATCTTGATTAAGGTAATTATGGTGGGAAACCTTTCCTACTGCAGGTAGCACCAGGCCCTGGGGTGGGAACCTGGACTGTATCAAAAGAAGTCAAAGTCGTGGGTGAAGTACAAACATTCACAGCTCTATGCTTCTTGGCTGTGGATACAACATGATCCTGATGATAGGAGTCCCTCAGCATGGTGGATTGTAGCCTAAAACCTAAATAAAACCAAACAACAAAACAAAAATGCTGTCTCCCTTAAACTGCTTTAATATTTAGTATTTTAGTACTTAATATTTTATCACAGAAACAGGAAAGTATCTAAGACAGAAAATTGATGCAAAACAGTGGAGTTATTGCTCTGGTAAAGCAGGTCACGTGTGTCTCGGGGTTTTAGAACAGATTTGAGGGGAATGTGGAAGAGTTTGGATCTTGAGGCAATAAAAGCCTTGAGCGCTATAAGCAGAGAGTAATGGGTTGTTCTTCTAGGAACACAGAAGCTGAGAGTGCAGATAGAAACTGGGCATGTGCAGACCTGACCCGTGAGGTTCCAGAAGGGAACAGGGACTGGCTGGGGAACTGCACTGGGGGACATTTAGGTGACATTATAGCAAAAGGTTTGGCCTTATTCTACCCATGTCCTGAGAATCCTGGTGAAGGTGAATTGAAGATAATGGACAAATTTGTTTGACAGAGGAAAATTTCAAGACAGGAAAGTATTTAATATGTTTAATGGCAACTGGTTAATTCACTTTCCAGGTCCACGGTGAATTAAGAACAAAACATGGGCAAAAAGATTTTAAGAAAATGCAGTTTTGTAAGAAAAGTAGTGTGCTCAAGTTTAAAATTGCAAAAAGAGTGTGCAGATGGCAAAGCATTTGTAACTGCTAAAGAGAAAATTCAGTTTCTCCACTAGAACAATAGAAAAATTACCCGAAAGACAAGGTACACCCCCCTACAAAAGCTCCAACTAATAAAAGCACATTCATATTAAATGAGAAACCGTGGGCTAAGACTGTTTCAAAAGATATTTCCTGCCATGAAATAACTTCCTATTAAAGTAATTTGTGTATTCAGCCATCAAGGCATATAAAAGCTACCACTATGGTCCAAAGGTGTGTGGCTCCATCCCAAGATGGCAACAGAACTTGATAGCATTGTCCATTTTGTACTGTTTTTTTCAGGCATAAAAATATAAGATCAGGGGAGTCACAGAGTCTTGACCCATGGTTTAGAAGAGTCTCCAAGGCCAGGCAATGAGCGGCAGGGCCAGTGTTCCTGAAAGGAGGCCCTGAGAGGCAACTGCATGAAGTTGAGTATGAAGCCTAGGTTTCAGTGGAGACCTCAGGATGTTAAAGATGTCAAGACCATGGTACATCCAACAAAGATATTCCCAGGCATTGAATGGAGCTAGTCCAAGAGAGAGTCTACATATGCTGCAGACAGAAAAGCTGTAGGAAAAAGGCTAGAAGCCTTTTGCTACCCAGGCAATTTCATCATGAGACTCAGATGCAAGTTATGAAGATGCAGGACTTGGTGTTAGCTCTGTTAGATTTGGTCTTGCTTTGGTCTGATCTGTGGTAATGTATTTTCTGAAAAATATCTTCCTTCAAAGAGACTGAAATTTTGCCAGACTTTACAACCATATTAGTGACATACCTTGAGATGACTGAAGACTATAGTCTTAATCTGTTCTGCTGTCCTGCTGTGTACTTGGCCTCTTTAAATTTAACCTGCATTTGAGAGAACAATGTAATCAACCCTACTATGCCTTGGATTTCCAATATTTTACAACCTAAGCTACATGCATAGAGTTCACCTTAAAATATGTATTTTTTTGTGTCCATAACCCAGAATAATTGCATTTTGTATTATGAGATGAAGATGAAATTTTTGCAAGGGAGGATAGAAGATTATATGATTTAAAGTGATGTAAGTGGGTATCGAGTTGATAAGGAGTGGAGTTGAGATAGTTAATCTCAACTGTCAACTTCCTGAGGTATAGAATCACCTGGGAGACTGTCTCTAGGCATGCCTGGAGTTGGAAAGTCTGCCTGCTGTGGGTGGTACCATATGGGACTCTGGAATGTGTAAAAAGCAGAAAGTGACCTAAACACAAGCATCAATCTCTGCTTCTTGACCATTGATTTAATGTGACTAAATGCCTCAAGCTTCTGCATTTTTTGCTGTCTCACCATGTGGATGGAGCTTGGAGCTGTGAACTAAAATAAACGTTTTCCCTTATGTTGCTTTTTTATCACAGGAACAAGAGAAATAGTTAAGACGGGAGCTAGCTGTCTCAGTTAGGGTTTCTATTGCTATGAAGAGACACCATTACCATGGCAACGCTTATAAGGAAAACTTACGGTCAGAGATTCAGTCCATTATCATCACGAAGGGGAGCATGGGGGCATGCAGGCAGATGTGGTGCTGGAGCTGAGAGTGATGTATCTTGTAGGGACTAGGAAGTCCACTGACTGTCACACTAAGGGAAGCTTGAGCAAAAGAGACCACAAAGCCCACCCCCACAGTTACACACTTCCTCCAACAAGGCCACACCTCCTAATAGTGCCTTTCCTTTTGGGGGCATTTTCTTTCAAAACACCACACTATGTTACAATGAAAGGAATTCTGAGGACAAATTCCACCAAACTAATAACCATTTATTAGCAAAACGACCCCCATGTGAGCACGTAACTGTTGCACCACTTAGAGAAATCCTACCTTTGCATAAATACACTGATCACCTTTCAGGATAAGCTTATCCATGTGCTGAGGTTCTGAGTAACATTAATTCAACTCTAGAGGAGAATGCTTTATTCATTTGTCCAGGAGATACAGAAACATAGGACCAAGGGGACCCTGGACTTTTTTCATTACTCTATCCATAATTCCATCATTATTCCATGTATAATTTCTACCCATAAATAATAAATCCTCTTGAATATATTTCAATAAGTATATTTTAAGAGTTAGTTAACTACTCTAAAAATATTGGTTCCAGGATAGGAATGTTGCTCAGTAATGGAATACTTGCCTAGTTTACATGAAGCCTGAATTGATTCCTAGTTAAAAAATAATTGTAAATGCCAAAAGTGGCACCCAGGATAAGCTAGAGTTTATTTACACACACACACACACACACACACACACACACACACACACACACACACACAC